TTTTGATTGAGGGCTCAACAAAGAAAAATTTGTTTTGACCAGGGTAAAATTTTAAGGTTACTCACACAGCAATGACCTGGCCCACACTATAGCCAGGTGCATCATGGGGAATGGTTTAGGGTTCAGACTGCTCAGAGTTGTGCAGTGTATGGTACACAAGTGTATACAAGTGTACATGGGGTTGCCCATGTACAGCAAGCATTGCAATAAGTAAATATTACAATTCTACTTGCATGGACTTATGAAAATATTGTTTAAGGCAAATAGTTTTTTTTTTTAGCACAAGTGAACAAATTTAGATTTTTACATTTTTTTATTGGATGAATAAACATTTTACGGGAATTGCTGTTTCGATTAAAGCGATATCTTCTTGTTAAGAAAAAAAAGAGAGCTTAAATTAATTGACTTTCTTCAACAAAACAAATGTGGACAATTGTGCTTTGTACCAGGTTATTTAAGATTGTTCTCATGGAGATAGATAATATTGTTTAAGGCAAAATATATTATATAAGTTATCAAATTTAGACATAAACCATTACCCTAAATTTTTTTTTTTAATTGGATGAATAAAAGCTTTTTTTCAGTGTAGCGTTATAGGCCTATGTATTATAGCTTAGAATTATTATTATATAATTATGAAACCCTGTAAATGATAAGCCCCCTATTTATTTTTTCCCCAATTTTTGTTTAACTGAGAGAAGATTTTTCAACACATTTCTAAAAATAATAGTTTTAATAACTTATTTCTAACTGATTTGTTGTATCTTTGCCATGATGACAGTAAATAATATTTTACTAGATATTTTTCAAGACCCTTCTATACAACCTAAAGTGATACTCAAAGGCTTAACTAAGTTAATTAGGTAGGCAGGAGTCCATTTCCAAAATCCATCGTTAGCCAACTAAGGTCCCAAGTGGTGAAATTACAAACATAGTTCATTTATTTGGCATTTCCCAAATCCATCGTTCCAATGAACATTCGCAAACTGCATCGCAAACTTCTATGCTTGCAACTACACATCTGGAGCTGTAGTTAGAAGCTTAGTTCCTGGCTGTGTTCTATTCCCAGTTATCCCCCCAATGCCCTATTCATTTAGAACGTTCTAATATTTATACTTGGAATGATTGGTTTTTTTTAAAGCATTAAAGTCATTTCTCTCTTAGGTGTAATTTGCTTTCAAAGCATTTACAGATCAGTTTTAGCAATCTTTATGTTTACAATTGCGCTCCCTTCGCAGTGCACTTTGAAATTATCATCATCCTCATCATAATCATCATTATCAACATCATTAATATTGTTAATATTTTTATTAAAGTATATATTTTTTTCATTTTTTAATAAATAATAAATATAAAATTACATTTCTTAATAAATCACCTTTTTTATTTCTATTATTTATATATGATATTATAATACGTGTTAGCTTTTGTAAATGATTTTATGTTTTAGAATAGAATAATATTCTCAATAATATTTGTAAAAGAAACGTAGGAAGACACATACACACACACACACACACACACACACATGCACGCACGCATCCACACACGTACGCACACACACACACACACACACAGATAATGGAGATTGGGACATAGGCATAACGTATTTTACACTGTTTATTATATGACTCAACCCCATCCCCCAACCCAAACCCAACAATCACAGGTAATTTATGGCAAAATCTCAATGTGATAAGACTAAGTTTGAATTTAAGCATTTTGAATTACGGCGACACAAGGCAAGTTCTAGTATATATATATATATATATATATATATATATATATATATATATATATATATATATTGTATATATATATTTTTTTGTCTGTGAATGTAATTTGTTTCTTGACCAAATAAACATTTTTGATTTAGATTAAATTACATTTATATTTTCAATTTTTTACATTTTATTAACATTTTATTTTATTTTATTACATTTTATAGTTAAATTACGCAGAGAAAAAATAAGCTGCCACAAATTACAGTATTTTTAACTTTAGTGCATTGCAATTAATAATTTGTGTTTAAAAACTGATATAATAATCAATTGTGAAACAGATCACGTTTCAGATCCTCATGTTAGTAAGTGTGACCAGGAACTTTCATTTCCTTTAACAATAAATTATAGCAGTGCTTTGATGTTTGTTTGTTCTCTTCCTGCTTACTGATTGCAAATGAAGTTAGTGTTTCATCAGCGTGATGTTTTAAATGAAGAATTAAACAGCGATTTAGTGTAATTTGCTTCCTTGGTGTGTAAATAAATCTTACCAAACAGGTTTGACTGCCAAACTTTCAGATCAGCTGTTAGGAAAGACAAAAAATGTCTTACAGCATCAGGAAACAGAGCGAGGAAGTTTTAAGTGTATTTCCTGCCAAACGTCACACAACAGCAGTAAAACGTTCTTGCGTTCATGCAAGCTGCATTAATAGCTGAAAAAAAAAAAAAAAAAAAAAAAAAAAAAAAAAATATATATATATATATATATATATATATATATATATATATATATATATATATATATATATATATATATATATATATATATATATATATATGTATGTATGTATATATGACGCTTCACAAAAGAGGAAACTCCAACTTTTTAGTCAGTCTTTATCAGATCAAATTTAACACATTCAATGAGGTGACGATAGTGGTAGACTGACACTTTCTTAGCATTGAGATGGTAAAATAAATGTGTTAGGTTCGCATTTTCGTAAGTGATCTGAATATACAGTAATAACTTGACCAAGCTTATGTTAAGGAAGCCCCAGAACTGTCCCCACGATAGTTGTACAGTAAACTGCCTTCTAAATAAAGGCTGTTAAATGAAGAATAACCAAACGATAAGAAAAAGCAGTGTACTCCCTCTCTTCTTCATTACAATGAAAATTGAGTTCTTGTGTAAAACTCTGAACAAACCTTTTTTTTAAGTAAAATACTTATTTTTGTAGTAAAATGTTGTCTAAAACTACAAATGATATGGGTTATAGATGATAAATATTAATATATTTCCCAAATTATGTTTTTAAGAGCAAGGAAAATTTCACAGTGTCTGATAATATTTTTTCTTCCGGAGAAACTCTTAAAAGCGATTTTTAATTTTTTTTAAACACCATTTTAAGGAAAAAATTATTAGCCCCATTTAACCTATATATTTTTTTTCGATAGTCTACAAAACAAACCATCATTATATAATAAGTTGCCTAATTACCCTAACCTGCCTAGCTAACCTAATTAACCTAGTTAAGCCTTTAAATGTCATTTTAAGCTGCATAGAAGTGTCTTGAAAAATATCTAGTAAAATATTATTTACTGTCAAAAGTCTTATGTTTAGAAATGTGTTGAAAAAATAAATAGGGGGGCTAATAATTTTTACTTCAAATGTAAATATATGTATGTATATATCTGTATGTGTGTGTATGTATGTTTTTTTTTTTCTTTCTCCCAGTGTTGGTTTGCAGTTGGAAGGGCATCTGCAGCGTAAAACACTGCTGGATAAGTTGGCGGTTCATTCCACGGTGGCGACCCCGGATTAATAAAGAGACCAAGACGAAAAGAGAATGAATAAAAGAATATATATATATATATATATATATATATATATATATATATATATATATATATATATATATATATATATATATATAAAGAAAAAATAATTATCTAAATGGACAGTGATAATACTTATTAATAAGACAAAAAGTACAAAAGTAGAAACCCTTTATTAATCAAAACATTATCCTACCTTATGTTTTGATGTGTTTTAAATGGAAATGAAAGATATACAGTGTGTTGTTAATTTCAGAGCTTCTCTTCTTAAAAAAAACAAAACAAAACAAAAAATCTACAAGTTCTGAAAGAGATCAAGGCTCAGTGAGGTCAAAAAAAGTAACACAAAAGTAACTCAAAAGTAATGTAATGCATTATTGACCATAAAAGGTGATGCAACTAGTTATTTACATTATGGTGCTTTAGAGAAAACACCCTTTAAAATGTCATTTGGTCACTGGGAAACCCATCACTGGGAAACATCCATACATTCCCATTCCCACTTATACACTACGGACAATTTAGCCTACCCAATTGACCTGCAGTGCATGTTTTTGGACTTATGGGGGAAACCGGAGCACCCGTAGGACACCCACGTAAACACGGGGAGGACATTAAACTCCACACAACTTCGAATTAATTGTCATTTAAAGGCTACTTTGCCATTATCTTCAATACATGACACAAAATTTTAAAATGTAAAAATTGTATGTAAAATACAATACAATTATGATCACTTATTCTAAATTTGATATTATTGTATATTTTAATAAGTACATGTTAAGTACAAAACACAATATTGATTTTATGTAATTTTCACATCTGTGACACTAAAGAGTAATACTGTACCAATATTTCCCTTGTTTTTGTCAAAAACGTTATTTAAAACAGAATTATTTTAAAAAGGTAGTAAAGTTTGCACTTTATTTCCATTTAAAATTTTATTTTAAACTTTTACTATAAGTCAATTTTAATTATCAATAATTAATAGTCAATATTAAATTATCCACATTTGAAAATGCTAAAATGTCTGTATTTTGGTTCACATACAAGTAGACTGCTATATAACAAAAATCACATAGCACAACATGCTACTACATGTATTATAACATTATGTACGTCAGAGATTTTTGGAATGGAAGTCCCGCATCCTTTCAAGCCAATTCCTATAGTGATGGATTAATTTAGTAATTTAGTTCCTCTTACTGTAATGGGAGGTAAAAAGCCCCAAAAAAAAAAAAAATCAAGAATACCTGTCGAAATTCCCCTCCTATCCCAATATAAGAGCACCTACCATCACCATGCACAGGTGCACATCATTTTACGAAGGAAAACACTTAGACCTCAGCAGGTAACAATACATTACATATACTAAATAAGATGCTTATGATTCTTATGATGCTTATGATGCTTAGATGCTTATGATGAATTTCTTTCTTTCTTAGACTCAATTGTCAGTGGCATAATGGAGAGCTCATTCATTGCATACAGCATGTTTATTTGCATCGTACTGAGTGGTCTATGGGATGCAGCCCAGGGAAGAAGGCTTCACTTGGGCAGTTGTAAAGTGAACATCCACACGCATGAACTCCGACACCACTTTCAGTACGTCCGTCAAGGCATGGTAAGCAAGCTGAAAGTTTAACCTTAGTCATGTTACTTCCTTCTGTTAAAATAGCTCGTGGCAGTTTGATGCAAGTCGCCTATGTATAAATAGCACTCGATTTCCCACCATAACAATGACGTCACCGGTGATGTCAATGGGTTTTCTTGACAGGCTTGACATGTCAACAAACTGGTTATAGATTTATTTTAGACAGCTGTTTCATTCTTTTTGACTCTACATACTTGAATGAGAACACCAGCGTGTTGCAAGACATGCTTTGTCACATTTCACTTTTGAGTTCAACATCCAGCTATTGGCTTTTATCCATGACACAGCATAAACAAACAAAAGGAATACCTCTGTGAACCCGGAGAATCTCAAATGTCTTCATCTTTCTGTGAGGCCTGCGTATCAGGCGGTATATCTACAGAACAGAAAATGTATACGTCATGAAAGCAGCAACAATGAAAGCCGTTTTAAAAGTGGCCTCATTTTTTTGAGTGTTTTGAGGTTTGGAATGACTATCACTACGCTGCAATCTGATAATATCTTGTGCTTTGACAGATTTCGGGTGACGATCACAAGGGTATCAGATTGCTGAGGAAAGACGTGATGAGTAGTTTACAGGTAAATAAGCGTTTGTAGAATCAATTCATACAATATGTACAACATATTACTAAAACATGTCCTCCCTGTTAGGCTACTGAAAGCTGCTGTTTTCTCAGCCAGCTCCTTCATTTTTACATGGACACGGTCTTTATCAGCTATACTAGCAGCCATTCCTTACATCGCAGAACCACCAGTGTCTTGGCCAACTCTTTTCTCAGTATCAGCAAGGACCTGCGAGTGTGTGTATGTATATACTACAGATTCTACTCTTATTTTTTAATGTAACACTGGAAAAAAAAAGGAAAAGTCCAGAATAGTCGTAACTTCCCAACGTTATATGTAAAGGTCAAGATCAAAGAACGCTTAGCATTTGATTGGCATCAGTCCTTTGACTAACATATTGCTAAGTCATAAAAATTTGTAAGCTGCAATATCTTTTGGGACTTTTTCTGTGGTTGCCATTGTACAAACTGTAAATACACTAGCCTCTGACTAAATGATTGTGCAATGTTAAAACAAATGGATTTTAAACTATTTTAATTTTTAAAAAATGCTAGTAATTTTCACAAACAATTAAATAAATAGCAAGTTACTGATGTGAGTTGAATGTTTTTTAATCTATAAAAATAATGATAGCATATCGAGAGTTAAGTGATAAGATTTTATTTTTACACAATATTAAAACATAAATTAATTTGTTTATATTTTATTAAATAAATGCAATTTAAAGGTCCTGTGAAGTGCATTAAAATGTGCAATTTTTATTGAATTTTAATCTCAACTGAAAAATGTAGATAGAGAGATAGATGCGAGATAGAGAGATAGATGCGAGATAGAGAGATAGATGCGAGATAGCTCCTCCCCGATAAAAAAACAATAACACTTTATTTTGATTGTCTGTTGAACTGAATTATATTGCATACATGCCATTTATTTCTTATTAGATTATAATGAGACTGTTGGGTTGGGGTTAGGGTAAGTGTAAGTTGACGTGTGCTTGCAAAGTTTCTTATAGTCAGTTAAATGTCTGTTGAAGGAGCAGTATCAACAGATGTTAAGCAGACAGTCTACTATTACTCAAATAGACCATCAAAATAAAGCGCTAACAAACAAACATCCAATAGCATTTCATTTCATCACAATTCTGCAAGTGAGAGCAGTTGAGTTCAAGCACATCAAATGAAAAGTGTCTTAAAGGGGCGGGAGATGCTAGAGGGTATCTGATTGGTCAAGATTTGATGTAGTATGTGGTGATGTCAAAAAATTGTTGACCAATTTAGGCGGAAGTGACAAATTGCAAACTTTACATGTTTATATTTGTTTTATAGTTTCAAAACACAAATTTTGTCACTGTTTTGGAGCACAAAATAGACTAATAGATATCCATAAAACTAACAGACTGAAACTACCATCTAATAAAAAATTCATAATTTTCACAGGCCCTTTAAAATAACTTGTTTACATAACAGGTTTTACATTATGCTTCATTTTATCCAATAATATCTTGATAGGACTTAAGTCCCAATTCATGCTATTATGTGCCTATTTATGCAATACTAACTTGTCACCTTCGAATTATAAAGTTATATCAGACATTTTTGTCAAAATTGAGTTTTTGACATATTCTTATTAAATGACAACATAATTACATTATGGACTGTTTTTTAGTTGTTTACATTTTAAGAATTTTTATTAAAAAACAAATCTTACGCACATACTGTTTGCAAAATGGAATGCAAAAACTTTGAAGCTCAATTTCTCAAAATCTTTTAGATTGCAGATAGAAGCTTATAATTCCAAGGTGATGAACTGTTTATAAAGATGATTTAATTATAATTTTATTCTACATTCCTAATCCCAAAACCTAAATCCAACTTCCACCTTACAATCAAGCTAATAGTCTAGTAATTGTTGTATCAGTAATTATGGCAAAATAAAGTGTTACCAATATATTTTTATGGACTTTATTTTAGGCATAGGCCTTAAGCCTCATTTTAGCTTCAGCAGATGCAGCATGTTACTTATTGACATTTTTTGTTAATTTACTTACAATGTACAGAGTTTTTGTGACTCTCTAAAGTACATGAATATGTGGCGCATGATTGGTTGTCAGTTACTAAGCACCATGCTATAAAGTTTTTGTGTGTGTGTTTTTTCAGAGTGTTTTAACTGACATTAATTAGGTAAAATTGAGAACAAAATTGTAGAAAAAAAAAAAAAGATTTGGGGTCTTTGAATTGTTTTCTGGAAATAGAGGGGAAATTAAGTGAAAAGTCTTATAACTATTCTTGCAGAGAGTTGATTTAGGAAAGAAAATGAGCAGACTAATCTAACCATGTCACTGTTTCTGTCTATGTTAAGCATGCAAATGCACACTGTGAGTGTGGTGAGAATACCAGACTACAACTCAAGAGCATTCAAACGGCATATGAAAAGGTAAGAGACACAATTCACTGACAGGACACATAACAATTCGGCATGTGACTGTAAAACACACTAATAATCTGCACAAAATCTCTCTCCATATTTCTGATGACAGCTTGATCAGGCAGCAGGAACAGTAAAGGCTATTGGAGAGCTGGATTCACTTCTGGAATGGATAGAAAGTTTCCAACAACAATGACAACACAAGACCCCATTCGATTGAATCTGAATATTTATTATATTTATAATGTACAGCTGTTTAGGTTCAACAGCAAAGACTCTATTGCATAACTTGGACTCTGGATTATTTAAAATGTATATATTTAATAACTTAAAGTTTATATATGAATTATTTATGTGATATGTAATGAACTACTTTTTTGACTTCTGTTTCTAAGCAAATTTGCATGATAAGGTAAAAATATCATGCTGCAAAGTAGACCTTTGAGGTCAAATTGTTGTCAATGAATATTTGTCTTCATTAAAATTTTTATAAACTAGCGTATGTCACCTGTTTGATCATGTTCATGATGAATGATACACATTATAGTAAATTGCAAAACAAACTGATGTTTCATTTGCGGAATATCAGCCCATCAGCGTAAGCAAAAGTAACCTTGTCATGTTTATGCTAAAAGGAAATGCGCTGATGCTAAATAGCTTCCGTACGAAGGTGTCAGCACGTCATCTCTCCAGATTTTACAATAGATCTGTTCATCAGGTTAACTTTCAATTTAGGTAACAGATTCACAGCTATTCATAAAGAATACATTGATGTATAAATGTGTCATGCCACGTCAAATTATGAGTTAATTCTTAAAGAGGCCTTCACAGCACTGATAAGAAATTATTAGAAAAATGAATGACGCAGAACTTCTGCTAAATGATGCACTATGGAATTGGAGTTTGCTATTTACAGTAATAATAAAAAGTAGCAAAGGCAGTGCGCTTACAGTACATGAATCCATGGGTCGTCACACTTGGATACATGTAACTTTAAAGTTTTAAATATTTTCAATAAGCATCCTTAGTGACCTCCACTGGTCAAATATGGAATCAGATAAGTCTCAAAAGAAATTCACGCAAAAGACACGATGTACACATGCGTAGCCAAATTCACGTGTGTAAAATATTTATTTTTATTCACAAAAAAATTTCACGTGCACAAAATTAAAATACATTTTCATAAAATACATTACACAAATGCAAAACACCATTTGTAAATGTATGAGAGTGTACAAAAAGTTTTGAATGTTTAAAACTTGCGAGTTCATCCTGAGTGAGAATGTGCAAATCCTCTTTCACGTACGACTCCCCCTGGATACGTGTGTGTGTATTTTTGAGACTTTCCTGCCAGAGTCAGGGCTACTCGTACCTTTCAGCTAATCAGATGAGAGCTGTATTCAATAAAACCAACTCTGCGCTTCTTTTGCGCAGACTGTTCCTCTCCAGCATGTCAAACAGAGAAAGCAGCAGTAGCACCTTTTTAAAAAAATTTATTTATTTGACCATATCCTCACTCTTTTTATCCATTATTTTGTCGCAGCTCCGCTCTTCTTATTTATTGTCTCGCAGCCCCATGAGCAAAATGTATCCTGCAGGGTAATCATAAGTATTATTCTGGCCACACTTGCATTGCAGTGCCATTGTGGTCCAGTGGTAAGCACATTGGGTTACCATACCCATAGAACCGTGTTGGATCCTCGCCTGAGTTAATTTTTTTTTTATATTTTCTTTTTCAAGAAAACAGCTGCTTTAGAACTTCAAATGTTCAACAACCTTACAGTTTTATATGTCTTAACAATAAAAATAAAATAAAAAAATCAACTCAGGTGAGGATTGAATACAGTTCTATGGGCATGGTAACCCAACATGTTAACCGCTGGACCACAATAGCACTGCAATGCAGATGTGGCTGGAATAATACTTATGATTACCCTGCAGGATACATTCTGCTCATGGGGCTGCGAGACAATAAATAAGAATTCAAGAGTTCACACTTAGCTGATGATTAATTATAAAAGCTTGTTTGGCATGCTGTCCCGGGAGAGAGCCCTGTGCTCATGAGATCCTCGAGCCCAGGGCTCCCTCCCGTTGCAAGGCAGGAGGGGAGTTTGAGCTCAGGTAGATCTCGAGAACTCCCCAAAATGCCTTTGTATAGCTCGGGACAGCAGCCGCGTATTGAAGAGCCCCCCAAAAAGCAGGTGTAACAAAGCCATATCCGGCTGCTGGATATAGCGTTGATAGCTTAGGAAGAGAAGCTCCTACGGGAGCAGAGCAAAGTAGACTGCTAGAGCCTAGGCGGGGTGAGGGCAGGGCTGGATTGACTCCGCGGGAGTCAAGGCTCAAATATATACACCCCTGTGGGGGTGGGAGCTGGGGTTAGATTGCTCAAGCAAGAGTCGGGAAGATTTGGGCGGTGGAGACTCCTGCATGAGAGGGTGGGAGGTGGCCAGGGCCTGAACTCCGGCAGGAGTTGAAGCTCGTTTTAGTCGCTCCTGCGGGAGCTAGAGCTGAGGATTGAGGGCCTAAGCGAAAGGAAGAACATAGTGAAAGAGCAACGCTGAAAGAAACAGTTATCGGAGAACTCAACGCTGGAAAAGAAATTGAGGAAATAGGAGGGTAAGGAGATAAGGGGGAAGATCAGAGAAGGGTAAAGGTAGCGGAAGCACTCACGCTGTAAGGAAGAAAGAAGGGGCAGATAATTGCCAGGCGGAGAATCTCGACGCCAGAAAGAAGAAAAGGAGAATATAGGAGTATATATGCATATAAAAATATATGTATATGAATATATATGGTTATTACATGGTAAGGGCCGGGCATGGGCGGTGATTGACTCTTGCGAGAGTCGAAGCGACCCCTGCGGGGGTCTGGGAAAGGGAGGGGGCGGTGGAGACTGCAGCAGGAGGTGGCCGGGGCGGGACTCTTGCGAGAGTCGAAGCTCGTTTTAGTCACTCCTGCAGGAGTTAGAGCTGAGGATTGATGGCCTATGAGAAAGGAAGAAAAGAGAGGGCGGAGGAACTCGACGCCAAAGGAAGAAAAGGAGAGAGGGAATAACCTGCGTGCGTGAGCATGCACGTGCATCTATTCCTGTTTCAGCATATGCATGCACACGCATCGGAACAGGTATACATCGGATGTATGCGCATAACGCATAACGCATTGGGGGGAGGGGCTAGAGATGACTCGCGAGTCGGGAAGAGGGAGGGGGTAGTGCAGGCTCTTACGGGGAGGTGGTAGTGAAGGGGTGGCCGGGGATGGGCTAGAGATTACTCGTGAGAGTCGAAGCTCGGATTGGACCCCTGCGGGGGTCAGAGCATGGTGAGGGAAGGAGCATAGTAGGTTTGAAAGGAAAGTTAAGAGCATATATGCAACATGCACAACATGTAATGCCCATAGGCTCACACACTCATCGCTTGCACATGCATATGCATACTTAAACGTACGCCCACACCTATATATATATCTACGTGCAAATAAGCATGTATACGTGTGCAACTGCACACTGTATCTGCGCGAGCAATCACCCACATTCCCATGCGCACCCATACACAAGCACACACACACGCGCACTCCAGCCTACTTAGGGTCGAGCTCGTACCCCTAGTTCAAGTTTGGAATTTTGCTGGTTAGGGCTAGCTGGGCTGTCTTGAGGTGGGATCGGAAAAAATTGGACCCCACTAAGGTAGCTTTTTATGGAGCTCGCCTGGATATTTTTGGCTGTATGGAGGTGGGAAATAAATGAGGTGATGGTAAGCAATGAAAAATCTGGGAACTGTATTTGGTACAGGGTGTGGAAATATTTATAAGATTTCCATGCTGTGAGATATGACTCAAGGTTCCTTGGTGCGACAGCGTGAAGGATCAGAGATATGGAAGTTTTATGGCAATATCATCTGTAAATAGAGTGGAACAGGTGTTGGATACTGGTCTGCTTCCGGTACCAAGAGCCGAAATTTCTGGAAAAGAAAACTAGAGAGAGAATCAGCAATTTGATTTTTGCAAACTGGAACATGTCTAGCAGTCATAATGAATTGCTTTTTGGCTGCCGTCCGAACGAGGCGTCTTAGTAAGGGCATAATTGGAAGTGCGTGCGAGCGTCCTTTATTAATGCAATAAACGGTGGCTTCGCTGTCGCAATGAACGAGAATGCTAGAGGCGGACCATTCATCTCCCCATAAAAGCGCTGCTGCGACTATGGGGTAGAGTTCGAAAGCGCAGATGATTGCTGATTTCTGGGTAGACTGAGCATCTGCGGGGGCCATGTTGAAGCAAACCAGTGACCTTGGTAAAAGCCGCCGAACCCGACTGAGGGGGCAGCGTCAGTGAATAAATTAATATCCACCGGGGAAGAAATTAGGTCGCTATAGAAAAAGGAACAGCCGCTCCATTGCTTAAGGAAGGAGATCCATAAGCTGAGTTCATTGTGACTGGGTTTAGAAAGGTATATGTTATCTTCTAAACCGGGGACCGAGGAGGAGAGCTGAAGGAGGTGAGTAATAAACGGGAGGCCTTGGGGAATTATGCGCATCGCGAAATTGAAATGCCCGAGAATAGATAGCAGTTTGCGTTTGGTGCATGATTGTTTCTCGAGGAAAATTGAGATAAAGAGATTATACGGTCGATATTTTCTTTGGGAAGAGATGCTTGAAATTTATTCGAATCTAAGTTGATGCCCAGAAATTCTATGTAAGTGCTTTGACCGGCTGTTTCTCCTCTGCAAGGGGGATGCCTAGATTTTTGAAAACCTTTTGGGTGATCGATAGGTGATTAGCTGGGGGTGAAGAAGGTGGGGAAATGAGGAGAAAATCATCGAGGAGATGGATGATATGCGGGATTTCGTAGTTATTAGATAAAATCCAGCATAATGCTTCTTAAGCATATCGAAAATTTTAGGAATACTTTGCAGCCGAAAGATTATCGGACTGCAAAGTAAAATTGTGAGCGCCAATGAATGCCAAAAAGGTGCCAGAAGTCTGGGTGAATTGGCATGATTTTAAAGGCAGAAAAAATGTCGATTTTTTGCAAGCCAAGCATTGCGACCGGCTAAACTGATGAGCGAAATTGCTTGGTCTATATCATGATAATTCAGCGAGTATTCGTCTGATGGAATGGTGCTGTTAATGCTAGGAATATAGAATTGTGAGGAGCAGAGACCAATAATCAAGGGATTTTACTAGAGAATTCTCAAGTCGCAATGTCAATAGGACTAATACAAGAACGCTGAACAGTGGGGCAAGAATGGTACT